AAAAAACTTACATTTACAAAATAGTTGATAAAAATATTCCTCTGGATTGTACAAGAAGGGAGACAGGGCCCACGGATAAGACATGGTACGTGATATCAGTCAGACTTGGCTTCTTTTTCGTCTGCTTCATTGGAGGCTGGCATCTCCTCCTTTTGGTCTTTCTGTTTTCCACAGGTGGTCAGTTGTGGGTCAGCCACTTCTGCCTGCTTTCCCTTTGTCCCCCCTTTCCCTTTCATTTGCTCTTTTTTGTCTGCAAATATATCCTTCCCTGTTGCCTGTTTTTGGCTTCGCTTCCACTTTGCAAGAACAGGTTTGGCTGACAACCTTGCCGACCTCCTCCTGGGCTCCTCCTTGGCCACCCCCTCAGCAGAACTGACCTTCCTCCTGGGCATCCTGGCAGCGGGGCAGGCGCATGCTGGTTGCCTGAAGGCTTGGGCTGCCTCAGGTACAACCCCGAGATGGGGAATTGGACCCTAGACACCTCTGTGTGGGGGCTGATGCTCTAACCCCTGAGCAACACTGGCCAAGGCTACCATAGCTTTTTTATCCATCTACCTATGGTGGGCACTTGAGCAGCTATCAGATCTTCTCTTTAAAAATTTTTTTAAAACATTTTTGTATTGATATAGAAAGAGAAAGGGAGAGGGAGAGACAGAGAAACATTGATGTGAGAACAAGACATCTATCTGTGGCCTCCTGCATGCCCCCTACTGGGGATCCAGCTCACAACCTGGGCATGTACCCCCACTGCGAATGGAATGGCTAATCCATTGGTACACAGGATGACACTGAACCAACTGAGCCACACCGGCCAGGGCTTGCTGCTTCCAAATCTTGTCTATCCTATCTAATAAAGCAGGCATCTGCTAATTGACCCTCATGCCATCACAAATATGGTGGCGCCCACAGCCAATAAGGAGGGAATATGCTAACTGACTGTCACGCCTTCAAAGATGGCGGTGCCCACAGCCACAAGATGGTGGCGCCCAGTTTCCTCAGCCCTGCCTGCCTCCGGAGTCCCCCAGTCCCCTCAGCCCCTTAGCCACCCAGGGCCGCCCGAGGCTTGCGCTGCCGGCAGTGGCAGCAGCAGAGGTGTGATGGGGCATTGCCTTCCTCTGATCACCAGGTCACCTCCTGCCCCTGAGGGCTCCCAGACTGTGAGAGGGGCAGGCCGGGCTGAGGGACCCCCCTCCAGTGCATGAATTTTCATGCATCAGGCCTCTAGTTAAAAATAATGCTACAATGAATATAGGGGTGCATATTTTCTTTTGAATTGGTGTTTTGGGGTTTCTTTGGATATATTCCCAGAAGTGGAATCTCTGGGTCATGAGGCAGTTCCATTTTAAATTTTTCGAGGAAACTCCATACTGATACTTGTCAACTGTGGATTTATTGATGATGGCCATTCTGACAGGTGTGAGGTGATTTTTCAGTGTAGTTTTAATTTGCATTTCACTGATAATCAGTGACTTTTAGCATTTTTCTTTTTTATTGGCCATCCCTATGTTCTCTTCATATTTTATTGATTTTTTACTTTGTATATATATATCTATATATAGATATAGATATATATCTATATATAGATATATATATACATACCTCCTGCACACCCCCCACTGGGGTCCCGACTAATGAGTTTTTTGAGATACGAGCCAGCTCTCGGCCGATTTTTTGCTTTTAGTTGCGAGCTAAAATTCGGGTTACAAGCCAGCTTCAGATACCCCACCGCTAGTTGGCGCAGCGAACGACACAGTGAACACCACAACATCAGCCCAGCATCACGTGTCTCACTTGTTCACTTTTTGATTTGACATACGAGTAATTTGAGTTACGAGCTCCATCATGGAACGAATTAAACTCGTAAGTCAAGGCCCCACTGTGTGTGTGTGTGTGTGTGTGTGTGTGTGTGTGTGTGTGTGTATATGCTGATATATTTATAGAGTTATATCCTTTTTTAACAAAAATTCTCTCCAGATATGTTTTTTATTGCTTTTGGAAAAATAGGAAGGGAGAGGGAGAGAGAGATACATTAATTAGTTGCCTCCCATATGCACCCCAGCCAGCAATCTAACCCACCACTGGGATATGTGCCGTGACTGAGAAAGCGAACCCACAAACTTGTGGTGTACAGGACAGTGCTCCAACCGAGTCACCAGGCCAGGGCTGCCCATTTTTTAATTGGATTGGCCATCTATATGCCTCTTTAGAGACCTGTCTATTCAGGTCCTTTGCTTATTTTTTAATTGGATTGTGGGGGGTTTTGATGTTGAGTAGTATAAATTTTTGTTGTTAATCCTCATCTGAGGAATGTTTTTCCATTAGTTGTTTGTTTTCTTAGAAAGAAGGGATGAAGGGAGAGAGAGAACCATCGATTGGTGTGAGAGACACATTGGTTGGCTGCCTCCCACACACACCGATTGGGTCAGGGAACAAACCTGAACCCGCAATCCAAGTACATCCCCTTGACCGGGAATTGAACCCAAGACACTAACCAATGAGCCATAGTGGCCAGGGATTATATTCGTTCTTTATACATTTTGGGCAATTAACCCCTTATCAGACATTTCATTGTGGAATATGTTCTACCATTCAGTTAGTTGTCTTTTCATTTTGTTGGTGATTTCCTTTTAGTTTGATATAGTCCAAATTGTTCATTTTTCTTTTTTCAAAATATATTTTTATTGATTTTTTACAGAGAGGAAGGTAAAGGGATAGAGAGTTAGAAACATTGATGAGAGAGAAACATCCATCAGCTTCCTCCTGCACACCCTCTATAGGGGATGTGCCTTCAACCAAGGTACATGCCCTTGACCGGAATCGAGCCTGGGACCCTTCAGTCCACAGGCCTACGCTCTATCCACTAAGCCAAACCAGTTAGGGCTGTTTATTTTTCTTTTGTTTCCCTTTCCAGAGGAGATATATCAGAAAAAAAATTGCCAGGAGAAATGTTCGAGATTTTACTGCCTATGTTTTCTTCTAGGATTTTTATGGTTTTGAGCTTTACTTTTTTTTTTTTAATATATTTTATTGATTTTTTACAGAGAGAAAGGAAGAGGGATAGAGAGTTAGAAACATTGATTAGCTGCCTCCTGCACACCTCCTACTGGGGATGTGCCCGCAACCAAGGTACATGCCCTTGACCGGAATTAAACCTGGGACCCTTCAGTCCGCAAGCCGACGCTCTATTCACTGAGCCAAACTGGTTAGGGCTTGAGCTTTACTTTTAAGTCTTTAATGCATTTTGAGTTTATTCTTGTGTATGTTGTAAGAAGCTGGTCTAGTTTCATTTTTTTTTTTGCATGTATCTCCCCAATTTTTCCAATACCATTTATTGAATAGACTAAAGTAGTCTATTCTTTGTATGCTCTTGCCTTCTTTGTCAAGTATTATTTGACCATAAATCCATGGGTTTATTTCTGGGATTTCTGTTCTGTTCCATTGATTTTCATCTGTTATTATGCCATTACTATGGTGCTTTGGTTAAGATGGCCTTGTAGTATAATTGAATATTAGGCAGTGTGACTCGTCCAGCTTTGTTGTTCTTTCTCAAGATTGCTGTGGCTGTTTGGGGTATTTTGTGGTTCCATATGAATTTTTGGAATATTTGTTCTAGTTATGTGAAGCATATGATTGGTATCTTGATAGGAATTGCATTGAATGTATAAATTGCTTTGGGTAGTATGGACATGTTAGTGATATTAATTTTTCCTATGCATGAACACCATATATGTTCCACTTAAAGTTTACATTCCAATTACAATTTACATTTAATTTTATTGTGTATTCATTTCAGGTGTAGAAAATAGTGGTTAGACAAATCTTTATAAATGTTCCCCCTGATATTTTTAATACTCCCCTGGCACCTTATGTATTTTGTAATCATGCCAATTCATCATGAAAATATTATGGATTGCAATGAAGGCCATTGTACATGTCAAGTCTTAAATTGTGCCTCAAGGTCAAGGCCCAGCTTACAGTGTTACAGTTTTGCTGCAAAGACTTTTCTTTTGTGTGATCTATGTGTCCTAAAAATTTGTATTAAGCAACCCTCAGGCTCATGAGTGGGAGGACTTTTGTAGAGTCTAAGTTGCCCTGCTTTCCTCATGCCTAAGCTCTAACTCTGATAACTTCTTAGCTCCATGAAATGAGACAGGCAAAAGAAGGTCAAACTGAGTCAGAAATAAATATTATATAAACAAATGATAATTCATACTTCTCCAAAATAATATTTTCATTCAACCAGGTAGAGCTAAACACTTATAATAATCTGGAGTACTTCAGGATGATATGACCAATTACATTTTGTTACAAGTTGAATTTTCACATACCTCCTGGCCTCTCGTGTTTGGTAATGAGAATAGAAGAAAAAGCTTCTAGCCTGGCCGGCATGGCTCAGTGGTTGAGCATCTACCTATGAACCAGGAGTTTATGGTTTGATTCCCGGTCAGAGCACATGCCTGGGTTGTGGGCTCCATCACTAGTGTGGGGTATGTAGGGGGGCATCTGATCAATGATTCTCTCTCATCATTGATGTTTTTATCTCTCTCTCCCTCTCCTTTCATCTCTAAAATCAATAAAACATATGTTAGGAAAAGAAGAAAAACCTTCCAGGCCTTTATTGTATTCATAGTCATTAAAACGTTATACAGATATGATAGTGTGCTTCCTGGAATGCTGCATCATATGGTGGTTCTGAAGGAGATGAGTTTTCTCACCAGAAATTGATGTACTTAAAATAGACATATTTTGTTATCTTTTTCAAAGTGCTCTTTACCCTGACATTAGAGAGCAATGAAGTGATCACAATAAAAAAAACCACATGGCAATAATTCCATGTGTTCATGAGGAAGTAAGTGTGGCCAATAAATAATAGTCTGACACCCAAGTCATAGAATGAATGTTGGGGGGCACATGTCATATATGAACTTATGAGTTATATATAGATCTCTTGTGTTATCTGTCTCATCCTTCCTCCTGTATACGTATGGGGGATGTTTTAGGACACAGTGGCCTTTGAGGATGTTAATGTGGAGTTCACCATGGAGGAGTGGGCTTTCCTGGATCCAAACCAGAAAAAACTCTACACAGATGTGATGCAAGAAACCTTCTGGAACCTGGCATCAGTAGGTAGTGATCACACCTTCTTACTTATTTAATCAATTAGAAAACAAATGTTGCTTGCTCATCAATATTGTTTTAAGAACGGAAATGTGGAAAGGGGAATGAATACATTGATAAACTGGGCATTGTCACAGCTCATTGTGTACCTGAAATCTAATCATTTTTAATATTCTTTAATAGTTTATAATGCTTTTTCTAGCATGTATTTTGGAAGAAAAATGTGAAGAACATGACAGTGAAGATCAGTATGAAAATCATGGGATGAGTCTTAGGTGAGTCGCATTGACATGAGAAAGCATTAAGAGCATCATTGCTTTTTTAAAAAATATGTTTTTATATATTTATTTTCTTTATTTATATATTTAATGTTTTTTTATTTATTTAAGAAAGGGAGAAAGAGAAACATCAAAGATGAGAGAGAATTATTTAAGGCTGCCTCCTGTACGCCCCACACTCAGAATCAAGTCCAGAACCTGGGCATATGCCCTGTCCAGGAATTGAACACTGACCTCCTGGTTCAGAGGTCGGTGCTCAACCACTGAGCCTTGCCGGGGGCGCGAAAATAATGTTTTTATTGATTTTAGTGTGTGGAGGTGAGAGGGAGAGATAGAAACGTCAATTGGCTGCCCCCTGCATGCCTGTATTGGGGTTAATAAGTATGCAGTCTGGCCACATTCCCTTTTGGGGAATTGAACCAGCAAACCCCTGGTGGGTGGATCCATGCTTAACCACTGACCACATGGGCCCAGTCCACAAAAGAAGCTTTAAAACAAGTAATCCAATTGTATCAGCCCAGTTTTAAATTTATTGACTCTTACAATATTCTCATCCAAATGTTTTTTTCTGAAATATGGTCTAGATATTTACTGTATAAAAATAACTACACTTGGAAACAGTATACAGAAGTACCATTAATGACTATAAGTGTTTTCATAATATCTATGATCCAACCTATTTCAGAGGTTTTAGGATATTTACATTCAAATATTGGATATCCAGATACGCTGAATTTCCCTTGAGAATGGTGAAAATGTCATTGTCATGCTATTAATAAATATTAAATTGTTAACAGAGTATTAATAATATGCTTCTGATTTTTACAGCAGTCATATGGTAGAGAGACCCTGTAAAAGGAAGGATGGTAGTCAAAGCAGAGAAAACTTCAGCCAGATTCCAAATCATAATGAAAGAAAGAAAACTCCTACTGAGATAAAACAACTGAAATCCAAGTTGTGTAGGCAAATCTTCATGGGTTATTTATCCTTGAATAACCACCTGAGCTCTCACATTGATCCCAACCTATACCTGTGTCAGGAATATGAAGAAAATGATTATAAATGTAAGGAACCTGAGAAAGCTTTCAAGCGTCACCAACATATTCAAAGCCATGAAGGCAGACCTAGTGGGAAAGCTTTCCACTATTCATCTTCCCTTAGAAATCATGAAAGAACACATATTCCTAGGAAACCGTATGAGTGTAAGCAATGTGGGAAAGGCTTTAGTCGTCTCAGTTGCTTTAAACTTCACAAAAACACTCATAGTGGAGAGAAACCATATCAAACTAAGCAATGTGGCAAAGCTATCAGTTCTCCCAAGTACTCTGGAGAAAATGAAAGAACACATACTGCAGAAAAGCCCAATCAATGTAAGAAATCTGGTAAAGCTTTCAGTTCTACTTCTCTTAGAAACCATGAAAGAACACACACTGGTGAGAAACCTTATGAATGTAAGCAATGTGGGAAAGTCTTCAGTTTGCTCAGTTCTCTTAGAAATCATAAAAGAAGTCATGAAGAAAAGAAGCCTCACGAATGTAAGGAATGTGGTAAAGCATTCCGTCATTGCTGTTCCCTTCGAAAGCATGAAATAACTCATACTGGGGAAAAACCCTATGAATGTAAGCTTTGTGAAAAAGTTTTCTCTTCTTCAGTTGCCCGTCGACGTCATGAAAGAACTCATACTGGGGTAAAATGCTATGAATGTAAGCATTGTGGTAAAGGTTTCTATTATCAGTCTTCTCTCCTAGATCATGAAAGAACTCATACTAGGGAAAAACCCTATGAATGTAAGCTTTGTGGCAAAGTTTTCTCTCATTCAACTTCCCTCCAATATCATAAAAAAACTCATACTGGGGAAAAACCCTATGAATGTAAGCAATGTGGGAAAGCCTTCAGTTCTCCCAGCTCTCTTGGGAAACATAAAAAAAGTCATGATGGAAAGAAGCCTTATGAATGTAAGGAATGTGGTAAAACATTTCATCATCACTATTCCCTTAAAAATCATGAAAGAACTCATACTGGGATAAAGCCCTATGAATGTAAGGAATGTGGGAAAGTCTTCACTTGGCTCAGCTCTCTTGGAAAACATAAAAGAAGTCATGATGGGAAGAAGCCTCATGAATGTAAGGAATGTGGCAAAACGTTCCTTTATCCTGCTTTCCTTAGAATTCATGAAAGAGTGCATACTGGGGAAAAACCCTATGAATGTAGCCATTGTGGTAAAGCTTTCTCTTATCCAACTTCCCTCCGATGTCATGAAAGAACTCATAATAAGGAAAATCCCTATGAATGTAAGCTGTGGGGGAAAGCCTTTATTCATCCCAGTTCCCTTCAAAATCACAAAAACTCTTAATAGTGGAGAGAAATCATAAGGAATGAAATAACTCACACTGAAAATAAGCTCTGTCATGTAAAGATTGTAGAAAAGCCTTTGACCATCCTAGTTTTGTTTTGTTTTTTTAGTCCACACCTGAGGATATTTTTCCATTGAGATAGTGGAATTCAGAGAGAAAGAGCAATATTGATGTGAGAGAAACACATCAATTGGTTGCCTCCTGCATGCGACCAGACATGAAAACACACACAGTAGAGAAAAGCTCTGTAAATGTAAGGAATGTGGTAAAGCTTTCAGTTTCTGCAAGTCTCTTAGAAAGCATGGAAGAACACATAATAGGGGAAAACCTTAATGTAAGCAGTGTGGGCAAACCTTTCATTGGATGTCACATGTTTCAAGACATAGAAGAATTCATAATGGAAAGAAGCCGCATAAATAAGGAATGAAGTAAACCTTTTTGTTATCCTTCCTCTTAAGTATCATGAAATGTATACTGGGAAGAAACCCTATGAATGAAAAAAATGTGGGATAACCTACAGTCATCTCAGATCCTTTCAAATTCTCAAAAATTCTCAGAGTGGAGAGAAACCATAGCAATGTAAGGAATGTGGTAAAGCCTTCAGGTTCCAACTAGTTTTTCCGGACATGTGAAAACAAATGTATTGATAAACACTGTTAATGTAAAGAATAGCAAAGAGCCTTCATTTATCTCTCAGCTCTGCCATCATGTATGATTATCCATATTGGGGATGGACCGTAGAAATGTGAGAGTTTTAGAAAGCATTCATTTCTTCCATTTTATTGTAAAGGATGACAGAACTCACTGAAGAGAAGACCTGTCATGTAAAGATTGTAGAAGAGCCTTTGGCCATCCTAGTTCTTTACAAAATCATGGAGGGACTCACACCCAAGACTAAGTATATGAACATAAGGAATGTGGGAGAGCATTTCTTGGACATGTGAGAATGCACCTAGAGAAATAGTGAATACATATAGAGAAGGTGGGAAAGCCTTCAGCTGTCCCTTTCCCTCAGAAAGGTCATGAAAAAACTCAAAGTGTAAAAATGTATTGAATGTAAAAATGTAGGAAAACCTTCATGTTGCCTCATATCCCTACAATACCATGTGAGAATGTACACTGTATAATTAACAACTAAAAAAAAAAACTTAACAAAAACTTTTAACACATACTTTCAGAGTAGCTAGAAAACTGCACTGGAAGGAAATCCTATTAATGTAACTAACTGGTACATGTAAGCCTGCTGTAAATTAAGTTATATGCTGGAGTCCATTCATTGTCTTCACTAGCTGAGTTTAGACAGAGACCCCCAAAAGCTAGTAACCTTTGAAGTCCTAGCAAAGGTCAGAACTGTGCACCACCCAGTTAATCTAGGAACCACCCAGTTAATTTAGGTAATAATAGTTGAAGCATCATCCCCACCTTAGTTCACTTAATTCCTTAGATACTTATTTAGATCCTTGTTGAATATTGTTGATCAGATACTCTGCCTATTCCTGGAAATCATCTATTGATGAGCTAATCAGATACTTTGTCTATTCCTGGAAATCATCTATTGATGAGCTAATCAGATACTTTGTCTATTCCTTGAAATTGTCTGCTGATCTGTGTGTCATTGAAACCCCTTTACCCTAAGGGCTACTCCAGATCAATAAAAGATCGGAGTGGCCTGAGCATGGGTGGAAGTCCTTCGGGACTTGCCCGCCTGGTCCCCCGATATTGCAAAATTATCTCGCGTCATTTCTCTCTCATTTGTTGTGCGGCTCCTCTTTCAGATACTGAACCCTACTCCACGCAGAATGTGGAGGGAGTGTTACTCGGCAGTTATATACTCCCTCAAAGTCACAGCATTAAAGAAGTCCTGTAAGCTTTTGACATATTTGGCCATTATCAGTACTCATTCTTTTTTTATTAGTTTCTTTAATTTGATGCTTTAGAATGAGGAAGGCAGAGAGAAGTAGAGGGAAACATCGATGTGAGAAACATTGATGGGTTGTCTTGCCAAGTCCCCTGACCAGTAATGTGCCCTGACAGGTATTGAATGAATAGGCCCTACACACATATGTATTCTTTTTTAATTTTCAATTGCACTTGAGGTTCACTATTATTTGCCATATATTTTTACATAGTTACTGTTCATAGTTAGAGTCCCCCTGTGTATTCATGCTTTGTGTGTATGTGTGTGTGTGTTGCTTTTGGCTGCGAATTGTGCTATGAAGTTCATATTAAGAAGATAATATTTTAGTTTTTTTCCTCATCTTTACCCTGCCAGCCAAGAATATCCTCAAAACAGCCAGCCACTGCTTTAATTCCATTGATGTTGGGTGTAAGCTTTACAGATGTTCACAATTCAACATTAAATATCCAGCATAGGATGGCTTTTCCTGCAAGCCCATATGTGTCCACCGGGCAACAAATGCAGACTGCCATGGTTGAGGCAGTTTTCTGAAGGGTGCACACTGTTCTCTAGATTGCATGTGCATGAAGTCTAATTTGACTAGAAATCATCTTGTCCTGTTGGTTCTACTACTGACTGTGATTTAGATCCCACTGTGACAGCTGCCATGGTGCAGTGCCAAGGAGCCCCGTGACAGTTTGTTCTTGTACCACCCTCTGCAGTGAGGGCTCTGAGCCAGTCCTCCCATGTGAGAATCAGCACTTTCCTCATTGCAGGCAGACTCTGATGTGTGGTGTCACTCACAGCTGAGCCTAATTTCTCAACGTTTTCAGTTATCTTGGGTTGTATGTGATTAAAATTATGTGCATTTTTCCTAATAAATGCATTTTTAAAAAAATATATTCTATTGATTTTTTACAGAGAGGAAGGGAGAGGGATAGAGAGTTAGAAACATCGATCAGCTGCCTCCTGCACACCTCCCACTGGGGATGTGCTCGCAACCAAGGTACATGCCCTTGACCGGAATCGAACCTGGGACCTTTCAGTCCGCAGGCCGATGCTCTATCCACTGAGCCAAACCGGTTATGGCAATAAATGCATTTTTAAAAATAATTTTCTTATTGATTTCAGAGAGGAAGGGAGAGAGAGAGAGAGAGAGAGAGAGAGAGAGAGATAGAAACATCAATGATAAGAATCATTCATCAGCTACCTCCCGTACGCTCTCTACTGGGGATTGAGCCTGGAATAGTGCATGTGCCCTTGACCAGAATCAACCCGGGATCTTTTAGTTTGCAGGCTTACGCTCTATCCACTGAGCAAAACTGTCTAGGACAATGCTTATGTAATTTTTAATGAAACATTAACTGTTTCCCAACCACTCTTATGCTAAGAAATGTTATGGTGTTTTGTTATTTCCTGATGATGTATTTAATTATCCCATAGTAATTATGTATTTTCAGATCAATTTGTCATTTTTTCCATCTAATTATTATACACTCTGAGTCACAGGTGTCATGTGTGTACAATTAAGACATGGTTTCCTCAGGGAAATTATATTTTTTCTTATCTGTATACTTATAATGTTTGGACCAGACTAGTTTCTTATTTGTTCAAAGTATTAAAAACTTCAGTCATGTATTTTTAGTTCCTGCAGCTAAAGACGAACAAAATCACATCTGCAGCAAAAGAGAAATGAGGTGGAATAAATTAAAATAAGCATGATCAGAAACCATAAACGCCTGAAATGTAACAGTAACAGCAGCCTTTAAAGGATTTCAATGTGGGACATTTTCTGTGTCTCTGATGAGAAGAGTAGCTGGAGGTTTTTTCTTTCAGCAGAAGGCACCAAGCCATCCATGTTCATTTTTGCTGTTTCCAGGGGTCATTTCCATGTTTACACTTCCAGGAGATGTTATGAAACATGGGGGAAAAGGTATTTCTTTTACTTCTTTAAAGAGCAAAGGACATCGAGTCTTGGTCCCTCTCCTTTCTCTCAGTGCTAATTTGTTTTCCTAGCGGTGTAGATATTTTATGATTTTATGATCATTGGTATCTACTATGACCCCTGCCCCCATCATTCCTCCCACCATGCAAATGAAGACAGGCAAGCAGAAATCTTGTCCCGATTTACATAACTCATAACAGTAGAATCTCCATTTTGAAGTCCTAATGTGTGCCGTATTGTCCAAAGTCAAAAGCTTTCGCTCAGAAGGACGCTGCTAGCCTTGTATAATTCTGTACCATTGCAAATGCAGTGTCAAAGTTTATAAACAGGACTTAAAAGACAACATGGTGATCCACTGCATGACATTCTGGAAAAGCTCCAGGTTTGGAGGAACCTGTACCAAATCCCTGTTCAAAAGTGAATACAGTAAAAACCACCACCACGACTGTGTTCTTTTGGGTTGATGGAGTGTTTTCCGTCTTGATGGTGGTGTAACTGCATTTGTGAAAACTCATCTTGAAACAGTATGTGCACATATTAAAAACAATATGAAACAATAAAAGTGTTAAACTTGTTCTACATGTGTAACACTTTCTTCCACCACCTTGGCGTCCTTCTGATAAAGAACTGAGAACACAGTCTGGAGAAGAACACAGGCCACAACAGGACATTTGATTGTTTACCTTTAAATCAGTTTATTGACACTGTAACACAACACACTTGCCTTCCTGACACTCCCACCCCCCTCACCCAGATTAGATCTCTCTCCCTTCCTCTCCCTTTAGAACAAGATGTACCTTGAAAACAGAAAAGGGCAGGCCACCTCTACAACCCCAGGCCCGTGGAGCAGGGTCTCAGGCACTATTCAGAACCTGTTGTGGGGAGGGGTATGCAGTTAGCACCACACTCAGCCAGGCAGAGGCATTCAGTCCTTAGGAACAGATTCCCCTCCCTCAATCGCCAGGCCCTGAATCGCCATTCCTCTTCCTCTCTGCTCTTTGTGACCCCAGGAAGGAGATGCTGGGGCCTGGGCCATGCAGCCAGTAGCAAGAACTGGCCATGATCTGAGCATTGGACTTGGGTAGTGTTTTATAGGGGCCCAGGCACCCCAAAGAAAGCCCTGGTGGTGGGAGTGAACTTGAATGTCCCTCTGCAAAATGCACTGATAACATTTCACAGATGAAGCCAGTTTAACCAAATGCCAGAATAACACTAAGCTGTAAAAGGGGGTCAGGCCTGCTTTCTCCAGGCCGGACACAAATGCACACAGAAGCCCAGGTGGGGCGTCAAAAAACAACTCGAGGACACGGCTGCAAAGCCTATACTCAGGAGCTCCTGGGGTGACAGGAAGCAAGGAAAGGAAATACACAAGTCTTAAAACCAAAGAGAAAGCCCAGTAGCTGGGGGGTCTGAGGCTGACAATACTACTCACCACTCCTCCAGGTCTTGGCCTAAACCCAGATAGTCCCTCCCCCTCTAGGCAATGTCCTTCCCAAAGGCTAGATAGAGCACATCACACAGGGCAGTTTAGAAAGCTTCGAAGGCCACTTCATAAACATCTTCATTTACTACTGGTGGTCACATGTGAATAATATGTTTATGCTGTTCTTTATGGAAAACAGTTTCAACGAGTCAACACCAAGAATACAAAAGGCAGCCCTCACCCTGAGCCCCTCAGCGTCCTTCCCTAGTCAGCGAGGAGCCCCCTCCTCTGTCCCAGGGCTGCCTAACCCCCTCTGTCCCCACTGTGGCTCTTGGACAAAGCATCCTCTGACCGTTAGTGCTCATGGGACAAGTTCTGGTCCAGCGGGTAAACCATGAACATCACATCTGGCCGAGAGGGTACACAGGGATGGCCTGGTCTACAACCTCAAAGCCCAAAAAGCTGAAGATCTTCAGGAGTGGATCTCTGTCTTCCCTGCTTTTTCCGGATGCAGATGGAGACATAGTTCACTTTCATCTTCACTTCTGCAAACTCCAGCAGTGCTGACAACCCGTCTTTGCTCCCATCAGCTAATACTCCACCTGGGATTTTTATAAACAGGCTCTGGCTGCACAGGACTGCATCCCAGGGAGAGACCTTCCCCTCGGTGACCTCGTACTGGAAGTGGACGGTGTGAGGTTGTCCATCGTTCACGGGAGGTCCTGGTCACAGTGAGCTTCCGGTCCTTAGTTATTAGAGCTGAGAGAGAAGGCTCCCTGCCGCCTCTCGCCCCGCGGGGATCTTCCTCAGTGGGTGACGGGCACCAGGAGCACCACAGAGGCCCCGGAACAATGTGCCTGCAGCACTGGAGCTGGGTAAGAATACAGGGCAAGACCCAAAGTGTAAGAGAACATTTAATGGTTAATTACAGAGGTAGGAGAAGTAATTCTTAGGAGAAATGGGCTTAGGAAAGGCGTTAAGGAGGTAACAGAAGTGCCCTTGGAGCTTGGGAACGCAAGCTAATGGTAACCTGCCTGGGGGAGGAGGAGAAGGAGGGGAAGGGGAAGGTACAGGTGTGCTCCAGGGAGGGAGAGCGCACTGGGTCCTCCTTCCTAAATGTTTTAAGGGTGGAGATTTCAGGGGAGGTGCCAGGGGAAGAGCTGAATAGAATATTCTGTAGCTTCCAGGTGTGTCCATTCAGGGATGTGGCCTCCACTGATGGACAGGCCGGCACCAGGACAGGGGTCATTATTCAATGCAGCTGGTCCTGATGTCAGCCCTGGCATTTTGCTGCTTATCTGGGCCTGGAGCTGGAGGAGGAAAAGTCACCCTGGGGACCAGGCCCCACCCTACAATTGGTTGCCCATTGCTGGACACCTGGGCCTTCCACCCTGGTGACCTCTGTGCCTGGCCCATCTCCCTGCTCTGGGTAGGTCTGTGGAACTGCCCACAAGACAACCACAAGTAAGGGGTGGCTCATGGCCTCAGAGGAGCGTGACTGAATCACCAGTGGGAACACATTTTTTCATGTGAAAAACATTTTCTTAAAGTTAACCTTTCTAAATACGCAGAAATCACTTTTCACGCTGGAAATGATGGCTTGTTTCTGGTTTCAATGCTCTTGTTGGGAATCTGACTGTATTTCTGGGAGGATAACACCCTAAGGCAGGGGTGGGCAACCCCTGGCATGCATGCCAAACATGGCATGTCAGTAACTTTGCTGGCACGCGAAACCCTCTCTTATAATCTTCCATTTACAATTTTTGTGAACATTTGAATGACTTAAATGTTAAATTTCAAGGAACTGGCAAGACACGATGTTATGTTTGGTTACATAAAGGCTTTTGAAAAGAAACTGGAAGTCTTTTTTTTTTTTTAAATATATTTTATTGATTTTTCACAGAGAGGAAGGGAGAGAGATAGAGAGCCAGAAACATGGATGAGAGAGAAACATCGATCAGCTGCCTCCTGCACACCTCCTACCGGGGATGTGCCCGCAACCCAGGCACACGCCCCTGACCGGAATCGAACCTGGGACCCTTCAGTCCGCAGGCCTACGCTCCATCCACTGAGCCAAACCGGTTCTGGCGAAACTGGAAGTCTTTAAGAGAGATGTGGATGGTGAGAGATTTAGATATTTCCCAAACCTCAAGAGGCACATCAAAGACCTCCCAAAAGATGACAGAACAGACTGTCAAAGCCTTCAAAAGCTGTTTTTAAACAACATCGAGTCAACTATTGAGCAGTTCTTCTCAAGATTTGTGAAATTCAGAGAACTGGAAGAGACAGCAAAATTCATGAGGTTTCCAGACAGCATGAAACTGGAGGAACTAAACTTACAATTGTTTTCATGGATAGACACGGCTGACTTTGAAATGCAGTTGATTAAATTTCAGAGTAGCTCAATTTGGAAGCAGAAATTTATTGACCTTAGAGTTGACTTGGAAAACATTGAAAAAAAAAGTGGTTAGAGACAGGAGTACCAGAGAGAAATGTCAAAAACGAACTATTGAGGACTTGGAATGCCATTCCAGAAAAATTTTTTTTGTTTAAAAAACTTTGCAACAGCGTTACTCTCCATGTTTTCACCCACATACGCTTGTGAATCTTTGTTCTCAGTGATGAATTTTGTTAAGTCTCGGAATAGGAGTAGCCTGATGGATGAAAGTAGTAGCTCGTGCATATCTCTGAAGGTCACGAAATATAAACCTGATGTAAAATCTCTGTCATCAGTGATGCAGCAGCAAAAGTCCCACTGATAATATCAAACGGAGTCATAAAGTTTTCTGTTGGACTATCAGTGTACATGTATACATTAAAAAATAAATGTATTTTTCATCATCATATATTGTGTTTTTGTCGCTCGAATTAATTTTATTTCTCAAGGTTATTCACATACGTACACCTTAAGAGATATCAACTAGGAGTAACATGTTCTCAAAAAATTAGGGTTGGCACGCAGAAGAATTTTGAGACAGAGATTTTGCTGGTTTTGGCACGCACTCACAAAAAGGTTGCCCACCCCTGCCCTAAGGCATCCCTGACCCCTCAGCCTGTGCACCTTTTTGAAAATCCACACATGACACTCCAGTTGTCGACAAAGATGAAAATGGAGCCAGAGTCATTAGGTGCCTTTTAAGTGTGTGTGTTTGCAAGGAAGGACCACTGTTCCCTGGGGACTCTCAGCGCTGCCTCTCAGTGCAAATGTCCCTGGACAGGAGATCTGGCTGCTTTGGGCTCAGGCCTGTGCACCTCAGGCGCTAGGGGGCGATGTCGTGACAAGTGTCTGTCCTTTCGGGAGCTGTGCGCCAGGTGGGTGGGGCTATTGGGAGCGGGTGGGTGGGGCTACGCTCTGCTACTATGCGGAAGTTCACTCACATCGCATCTTCCTTGCACTTCCGCCATTCGTCCATCTGTGATCTGCAAGGTGGTGGGAGCTGCAGGCGGGACTCGGGAGGCCCAGGAACTAGAAATGGTGAGTGTGCGGCCGGGCGCGGGGACGGGGAGGAGGGGCG